GAGCATGTGACTTGCCCAAGGTCACCCAGTGGGTTTCATGGCTGAGCAGGGAATTGAACCCTGGTCTCCAGAGTAGTCATCCAACACTCAAACCACTACACTGACTTACTCCATACAACTGGGAATACTGATCATACAGAATTTTGATTGTATAGAAAGGTACGGTATATTGATATATAGGTGTTGTTTACTCTTTCATGCCTTCCACAAAAGTCTGTGGAACATGTGGCTCTCCTGTTGGACTGCAACTCCCATCAGCCTTAGCTAACATAGACAATGTGAAGGAGAATGGTTATATGCCCCTCATTCATGATCTGCATATTCAGAGCACATGGGAAGAGATGCAAGGGGTTCTTTCTACAGACATTCACTCACCTCATCCACTCAGACTTGTGATAAGTTTGGCTTCTCCTGTCTGATCTCATTTTTAATGCCGGTTTTTCTATATGCTCAATAGGTAAAGGTAAAGGTATTTCCCATTGACAAGTTTGTCAAGTCGTGTCCGACTATAGGGGGCTGTGCTCATCTCCGTTACTAAGCTGAAGAGCCAGTGTTGTCAGAGACTACTCTGTGATCATGTGGCTAGCATGATTGCACAGAGAGCTGTTTACTTTTCTATATGCTCAATATGGAGCTTCAGTATCTCAGATCATACAGCTTTTTTTATTTTAATAAGATGTGGGGCCCCTATGGGCACCAAAGACAATCCATCTAGGAGTAAAATGGACAACAAGGAGTCACAGTCCAATAACATCTGAAGGGCAGTACAAACCCCTGGAGGACATTTTTCCTTTGTTTGTGGTATTGCTGTTGTGCACCTTCAAGTGGTTTCTGACTTATGGTGACCCTTAAGGTGACCCTATCATGGGGGTTTCTGGGGCTGAGAGTGTGTGACTTGCCCAAGGTCATCCAGAGTTATATTCCAACGCTCAAACCACTACAGCATGCTGGCTCTTGTTTGTAGTATGCTGTGGCCTTATGTGAGAGCAATTACAAGCAGGAGTTCTATATTTGGGGAAAGCAAAATGGCCAATGTTTTAGCTGACACTTCTTCCATGCTTGTATCAGGAAAGTGGTAGTTTATTCATCAAATTATCTCCATGCACAAAAAGGCAAAAGCTGCTTCCTTTCTGTGTGTTTCTTTCTGGCTGCTATTAAAGGCATAAGAGGAGACACATAAAAAACAAAGCAGGCAACTGTTGATAAGGATCATAGACTTCCGCAGCAGAATTAATGGTTTGTCTCTCACTTCTCCTTTTAGAAATTAATCCCAAGGAGTCTGTCATCCCCTAGGCACCAGATCATGCCTGATCTTAGAAGTTAAACAGAATCAGCCCTGATTAATACTTGGATGGGAGACTGCCAAGGAATACCAGGTGCTGTAGGCTATATTTCAGGGGAAGGAACTGACAAAGCCACCTCTGAGTATTCCTTGCTTAAGAAAACCCTATGAAATCCATGGGGTCATCGTACATTAACAGGTGATTTGAAGGGACACACAGTCTGTCCTCAGTTAATTTACCGTAAATTCATCCCTTTGGGTTTCTCAAGGCTTCAGAAATTTGGAAAAAATTGTTATCTTTCTGAAGGCCAGTGAATCAACAGATGAGATGTGAATGAGCTGGCACACCATAATGACTGATGTGCACATTAGTATCTAAAAGACAGCAATATCTAAGTGTACCATCAAGCCTCCTAAAACCCTCTTGGGAGCCTGTGAAATATTAGTCATATTTGGTCACAAGGGTTGTTGGAGTACTGTTCCAAGAGTGTCACAAACTTTATTCTAACATAGATATTGCAGTGCAAATGAATGGCCAAACAACATGCACATTTGTAATATTCAAAGCAGTGGTAGTTTCAACATACGCCCCACCTGTAGACTGCAGTCATCTTTTGAAAAATCTTCTTCCAGGTATATCTCCCTTTGGGAGTTTTCTGAACAATAACAAAAGGGTAATAGCCTCCTTTTGTTGTTGTTGTTGTTAACTGCCTTTGCATCGTCTTGAGTCATGGTGATCCTATGAATGAGACATCTCCAGCCCACCCTTTCTTTTGCTGCTCTGCCCAGCTCCTGCAAATTCTTATTCATTCTCTCCTTAATAAAGTCCATCCATCTAGCATGTGGCCTTCCTCTCTTTCTACTTCCCTCCATCTTTCCTGACATAATAATAATAATAATAATAATAATAATAATAATAATAATAATAATAATAATAATTTGTATACTGCCCCTTTTCCAACGATTCATGCCTTGTCACAATGTGTCCAAAGTACGACAGCGTCTTGTCATCTTGGCTTTTAGGGATATCTCGGGCTTGATCTGCTCTGGGACCCATTTGTTTGTTCTTTTGGCTGTCCATGGGATCCTCAGCACTCTTCTCCAGCATCACCATATCTCACATGAGTTGATTTTCCTCCTGTCTTTGTTGACTGTCCAGCTCTCACATCCATACAGGATAATAGGGAATACAATGGCTTGTATGATTCCGAGTTTTGTGCTGAATTGTATGTCTTTGCATTTTAGGATCTTGTCTAGATCTTTCATAGCCACCCTCCCTATTCTTAATCTTCCCCTGATTTCCTGGTTGCAGTCCCCATTCTGATCAATGTTTGACCCCAGATATGAGAACTCTTTTACTATTTCTATATCCTCATTGTCTAGTTTGAATGTGTGTAAGTTCGCTGTGGTCATTATTGTTGTTTTCTTTATGTTCAACATTGAGCCTGCCTTTGCACTTTCTTCTTTGATCTTCCTTAGTGGGTGTTCTAGGTCTCTGAGGTTTTCTATTAGTATTATAGTGTCATCAGCATATCTCAGATTGTTGATATTTCATCCTCCTATTTTCAGTCCTCCCTCTTCCATGTCCAAGTCTGCTTTCCTTACAATACATTCTGCGTATAAGTTGAATAGGTAGGGTGATAAGATGCAGCCTTGTCTGACTCCTTTGCCAATTGGGAACCATTTGCTTTCTCTGTGTTCTGTTCTGACAGTAGCCTCTTGTCTTGAGTACAGATTCTTCATTAGGACTATCAGATGTGTTGGCACTCCCATAGCCTTTCATGATCTATGCTAGGGGTTGGCAAGGTTCTCTTACCAGGTGCTGGCCACTGGTCCCCATGTCTTCCGCCGGGCCGGTGTGTGTGTGTGTGTGTGTGTGTGTGGGAATGGCAGTGCGTGTGCTTATGCGCGTGTGGCCCTCGCTGCCGCCAGCCGCCACTGCTGCCGCTGCATGCACACTGCTGCCACGTGCGCTGCTACCACCATTTTGTTTGCCAAAATGGCAGCTGCAGCACGTTTGTGCATGTGCAGAAGTACTGCGCATGTGCAAATGAGTTGCGGCCACCATTTTGGCAAACAAAATGGCGGTCGTAGCGTGCGTGGCGGCAGCAGCACGCATGGCGATGGTGGCAGCAGGGGACGATTGGTGGGGGTCGGCAGGCCGGGTGTGGCCCACGGGCCGTAGGTTGCGGACCCCTGATCTATGTAGTCAAAGGCTTTACTATAGTCTATAAAGTATATGCTGATTTTCTTTTGGAACTCCCTGCTACACTCCATTAGCCATCATATATTTGCTATGTGATCCCTGATGCCTCTTCCTTTCCTGAACCCTGCTTGGACCTCTGGGATTTCTCTCTCCATGTGTGGTTGGAGTCTATGTTGCAGTATTTTGAGCATAATTTTGCTTTCATGGAAAATTAGTGCTATGGTTCTATAGTTGCTGCAGTCTCTTGTGTCTCCTTTTTTGTGGATGGGGATGTATCACTTCCATCTTTTGGCCATTGTTTTGTTTTCCATATCTGTTGACATATGTTGGTTAGCACTATAGTTGACTCTGTCAGTGTGGATTGCAACAGTTCAATTGGTATATCATCTGCTCCTGGTGATTTGTTTTTCGCCACTTCTTTTATTGCAGCTTCCACCTACCTCAGTTTTTGGAATTTAGGGTTGATCTTCATATGGCTCTTTGTTCCACGTGTCCTTCATTTTGTCATCTCT